TCAGCCATATTACATTCGCATGATCACGTGACCACGTTTTGATCACGTGACATCATTTGTCCCCCTTACGTCACATTATGTAATACATAAGTTTTGGGGTCAACAGTTGGGATATCAGTTTCAAGCTCAGTAAATAGAGGAGTTAGCGGTCTAATGTATAGTATGAATGTCTATGGGAATTGCTTATATTTCCTATAAAAAGCACAATACATACAGTAGTGCAATTCCCTGTCGGCACCTTTGATGTTAGCGTGTACGAAATTGAACTGCATATGCGCGAGCTAAGTAAATAACCAATCATAGATCTACTCTTCGATGCTGTACTAGACTGCACTAAAATGTTCTATCTCGTTTTCATCAAGTTTTAAATATATATCTATTTCGTTTTAAGTACATTGAATGTATATACACTACTTCCTCTCTTTTTCTAACTTATTATTTATACGCATCATATTTAAGCTAGCATCATATTTAAGATATAAATTAAATAAAAATAATATAAATATGGTATAAATACGTAGCTAATAATGAAAAATATTCTATAGACAATATAAAATATAAATATCAAATATGAAATATAAAAGTAAAGAAATAATTTTAAAAAATATACATAAAAATATATAAATATTGATTAATAAAAAGAAAAACTATATTATATTATTAACTTTGGTAAAAAAATTGCATAAAATATGAAAAAAAAGTCGACATAAGGAAATAGTACATAAAATAAATGTATGTATTTAATTAATATTATTACTTTAAAATAAAAACATAAATGTAAGTATATATTTCTTAAATTTATAAGATGAAAAAATACAATTATTTATAAAATTAAAAAATAATACAAAATTTAATAAATAAATAGAAATGTAGGTATACAATAGTAAAAAAATATTTTTGTGTAAAGAAAAAACAATTTATTTTAAAAGTATTACAAATATACTTATATTAGGTGTACAAAAAAGTTCTGAGCTTTAGATTTCATACAACCGAAATAACAATTTAAATTTTATATATCTTCCCGTTCTTTTGCGGTTTTGGCCAAAGCGTTGACATTTGGCCTTCTAAAATGCCATACGGTTTGGCATTTGATGCACATAATCTCAAAAATCAGTAGTATTTACGATGGCAATAACAAAAGAGCATATTCGATTTTCCATCCACTTCGTGTTTCATCTGAAGAAAAATGCTGCTGAAGCCATTGCAATGATTTGTGCATATGGAGAGAAAGCTGTAAGTCATACTACATGTAAAAGATGATATCAAAAATTTCCCCAAGGAGATTTCAGTCTTGAAAATGAATCGCGTGCTGGACGCCCTCAAAAGATTGAAACGGATGAATTGCAAGCACTGCTGGATATAAACTCTGCGCAAACTGAAAAGAAGCTTGCAGAACAGCTTGGCGTTACGCAGCAAACCATTTCCGTACGTTTACATACGATGGGAAAGGTTCAGGAAGGCAGATGGGTTCCGCATGAATTGTCCGAAGACAACAAAAATCGTCGGTGTGACACTGCACTCACTTTGCTTTCAAAGTTCCGGAAAAAAGATTTTCTGCACAAAATCATTACAGGCGATGAAAAGTGGATTCTTTATGATAACCCTAAACGTAGAAAATCATGGGTTGACCCTGGTCAACCTTCGACATCATGCCAAAGCCCAATATCCACGCCAAGAAGGGTTTGCTCTGTATTTGGTGGAATTGGAAAGGTATGTTGCATTACGAGTTGTTACAACCCGATGAAACAATCACGGCAGACCACTACCAACAACAATTGACCAATTTGAGCGATGATTAGAAGAAAAGAGGCCATTTACTGGCCAAAAACATCGTAAAGTAATCTTGCTTCATAACAATGCTCGACCACATGTTGCGAAAGCGACTCAGGACCATATCTTTGCGTTAGGCTGGGAACTTCTCCCGCACGCGGCGTATAGCCCAGACATGGCGCCTTCTGATTACTATCTATTCCGATCACTGCAGCATCATTTGGCTGATACACATTTCGTGAGATTTGAAGAGATACGAAAATACATTAATGACTTTATCGCTTCGAAGCCGGTGAGCTTCTATCGTCAAATTCGCAAACTACGAAAGATGGCAAAAGGTTGTTGATGCGGGGAATATTTCGCTGATTAATATTTTTTTGTTTGTTTTTGAATAAAGATTGAATTTTACAAAAAAAAGCTCAGAACTTTTTTGTACACCTAATACATATATGCAATTACATATTACAATTATGTTAAATATAATGTCCATTTACTTTTAGAATAAGAAATAATAATAAATAATAATTTTCAGAATAACAAATAATAATTTTTAAAGGAAATGATGTTTTTTAAATTTTGAATATTTTAAATTTATAATAAAAAAATCTAATAATAAAAAAAATGGAGAATTAATCTGTATAACTCTTTATACAGATTAACTATTCTCCAAAGAGAAAATAACTCTTCGTTCTTAGTTTTATTTTCTCTCATTAATCAAACTGAAACTATTTATTAATCAATATTCAATATTCACTCAATACTAAATACTCCTATTTATTTTCTTTAACACGCCTTAGTGTCGGTCCACAATAGGTGATTTAAGCTTTAAGAAGTAAGAAATTGACCAATTATAATCGAATATGAAAAGAATAATCGACTATGATTGATCAATTTCTTACGACTTAAAGATTAAATACTTATTGTGGACCGACACTAACAGAATAAACTCTTTATAATTTCACTTTATATGTCAGACATTTGTTCCCGCTAGTATATTGGATTTAAATGATAGAGAACGTTATAGAAAAACTCAAGAAGAAATGTGACAGAAAATAAATTATGTTGGTTATCTACTTAGCTCGCGCATGTGCAATTCAATTTTGTACACGTTAAAATCGGGAGAGTTGCACTACTGTATATATTGTGCCGAAAGTGTGTACGAGAGAGAAAGATATACGAGTGATATATGTCCATATGTCGACGACGTACTTAAATATAGCGGTGGATTTATTGTAAGAAAGTTATTAGGACATGTTTATCATATTTGTGCAACTTTTGTCATCGCAAAATCGACTGATTCAATTTTAATTACTGTCAAAAACAAAGATAATTTAATTTTTCTTTCGGATGATGTCATAAAAATAACACAATGCTCCAAAGCAGTTATTCGATCAAATTATAATATAATTCGCACTAGAAAAAATATTGAGACAATTGTGACTATGAAAGTGTTTAACGATATTTGTCATTCAGTGTTTAATGACAGTGCAATGACAGAACACATTTTGCAAGATGTGTTTGACAACCATAAAACGCAATTTATTAAAAGCATAATTGTAATTTACGTTAATTTGCGTTTATTCCATGAGGTTAAGTGCGTTACCGATTCAATACACAAAGATTATATTAGACGTAAGTTTACAAAATTGATTCATTTTAAACATCAATAAAAATTATTTTCTTGTGTTATAATGGTATATATTAATATTTATTTAATACATTTCACTATTACATCTCTATATAATATCATTTATGACAGTTCTTGTCACCTATTGTTCTTCACATCACACTATATGTATATTGCTTGCCTATAGTATCTGTTAATTTCAACGCATGCGCAGAAAGGACGAGTATCACTCGTATATCTTTCTCTCTCGCACATACTTTGGACACACTTTTAGTGTCAATATTCCCCCTCCATGTCTATATACTCAAAGAGTACGCAGTACCAGGCGCATGCATATGTGCGTATCGTATTGAGAAGATTACGGTGGACTTTAAACGTAAGCGATTTTATAATTTTGCTGTATCATTACAAGTATTATTTTTCTCACTTATATATAGAGACAGACAGTGACAAGCGTGAAAGTTGATAGAAGATTATATACTCACGATTTATGAAACGATCCAACATTCGACAGTGGTGTTTTAGTGAGTGAATATCTTTCGTTTGGGTTTATCAAGAAATGCAGGAATTACGCTTCGACGGCCGAGTGGTCGTAGTAACGGGAGCGGGTGCAGGTATTCGTCTTTTTTTATATTCATTTTTACATATATAACAATGCTTCTCTAATTTTGTTACCATATGCGAGATGAAATTAAATCATCTGATAATATAGATCACCTGATTGTATATTATTGTTATTTATTATTATATCGTTTCATTAATTTTCGATTATTTTACAATTATTACTTTTTTTTTATTGAATGATTTATAGACTGATGACGAAGGATTTAATGTAAATTTTTTAAATATGTAGGAACAAAATCTTACATCAAGAAATTACTTATGAAAATGCAAGTAAATAGTATAAATTCTTTTTGGCAGGTTTTTTTTCTATAAAAATAATAAGCAAGAATTTATTTTGATTAAATATCAACATATGTGTATTCCATTAGAACAAGACAATATGCAATTAATATTTCAGGATTGGGGCGTGCTTATGCATTGCTGTTTGCATCTAGAGGTGCTAGCGTAATTGTAAATGATTTAGGAAGCAGCAGACATGGAGATGGAAGTAATACTAAGAGTGCAGATACTGTGGTCCAGGAGATTCGACAAAATGGTTAGGATATGATATAATTTCTATAGATTATTGATAATGCAAAATTTTGATAATTTCAGCACAATGCTTTTACTTAAGAAAATATTTGAAATTTTTCCTGTTGATTATTTATAACATTATATGATTTAGGAATTATGTGATATGTATATTTTTAAATATTAGTGATCATTTTTCATTTATTATGTTCAACGGTTAATGTTTTTATATATTTATCTTAATAAGCAAAATAATTTGATTGAAAGATTAATGTTTTAATACATTCTTAAATTTAGACTTTATTTTAAAATGTGTCTATTAAGACAGCATGTGATTTTAATGCCAATTTTATTAATAACAAGTTCAAATGAAAATATTCAATGTTTCAAATAAAAGTTAAAGTCGCATTTATTTTTTTGGGATTTTAGATACATTTTTTAAAATTTCCTATGATACATAAATTACTTGCAATTGAAAGTGAATATATAGGGTATAATAAATAGCATCTATTAATTATATAGTGTTATTCCTTATAAAAAAGTAAGTCCTGAATTATTTCTTTTATAATGCTTTTATAAAGCAATAATTACTGAGTAAAGCTAATCAGTGTCGTCCTTTAGACTGACACGTCAGTGAGCCATGTCTCTCGTAATGCCTGAGTATATAGTGTACTCATACATCTGTCACGACTCATACGCTGACATATGTCTGTTTAAAGGATGCTGATTGGATTAGTTTTACTCAGTAGATGTGCTTTATTAAATATTATAGAAAAATATAGTTCGGAACTTTTCAACTCAGTTTTTTTTATAAAGAATAATTCTATATTAATTAATAGGTGTTATTTAAGTTATATCCCGCATGTGTGCGTGCGTGCGTGCATATAAATGTGTAATTGATAAATATAATTATATAAAATATAATTAATACTTGCTACATTTTAGTTAAAAAATTATTTTTTATAATTAGCAACTCTTAATAATACTCTAAATAATTTTTATTATGTTGACATAATGCATGCATATGCATTTTAAGTCGAAAGAAAGTATTTTATATCATTTTTTATAATAATTTAATTTATTAAAAGCGTTTGAATATTTAATACTTTCAGTTTTCCTCAGAATTATTTTTATATAAATTTGATTTTGGCGATTTAAATTATCTTATCTGTAAGTTGAGCACGAACTATTTAAAACGATTTTAATATATGCAGAAAGAAAAAAGAAATCTGTGCATGTACATATGTACAAAAAGATTATTATTATTCTTTTACATTATTCTGATTTTGCAAATAGATTGTTTAGTTAAACAAACATGCAGTATTGATTAAGAAGAATTATATAATATTTTTAAAATATATTATATGTAAAAGAACATAATATGTAAAAATACAAAAATACATGAAGAGAATTGATGTATGTCAACAATACATACATATTAGTTTTAATCTTAATTAATTTAATAACTGATTAATAATGTTATAACAATATTATTTATATGTCAATATTGTTATGTTAAATTAACATTGTT